GTAAAATATGTATTGAAATGGTTTGTTTAAAAATTGCTCTTAAAAATAGGATTCTAAAATGAAGACTCTGCAAGAAGACTAGGTAACTCATGGATATGATTAGGGGTTGGGGTCTATATGTGATGAAAATCTAGGAAAAGAATAGGATTAAACCTGCTGGAATTACTTAGTTTCTTTTAAATTTCTGTGCCAGGAAAATGTGGATATTGTTTGGCTAGAAGAACTTCCTTCTTATGTACCTATGCCATGCAAATAGGCAGTCGTGTGAAAATTCCAGGAAGCACCTAGTTGCTGAGATACTCCCTCTTTGTATCGCGCATTGAGTTCTGATTAAAAGTTGGATTATAATTTCATAGGTTTAATGAAATTCAATAAATGTAATCCAACTTCTGTAACAATATGGAGACTAAGTTTGATCTAGTATTAAGAGACGATTATTTTTATTATTTATCAACTGTCTTCTAGTTCAGAAGTAATGAACATATTTAACTAAATTTGCTGGAAAAAGAGCTGATGATAAATGGAAATGATGGAAGGGACAAAGAACTTAATATATGTAGGTGATGTATGTTAAATATAACTATTGTGATACAGAAATTAACATTGTTAGTAATACTGAGGACAGCTGGAGATATTTGGGATATCTGTTTTATATGGTTGTATGTCTGGTTATTTGTTTTGTTTTTTGTGTTTATAGATTTACATGTTGAAACTCAATAAAAAATTTATTAAAAAAAAAAGACGAACTTTTGCCCAGACATATTTTATTAACTGCAATATCAGAAATGTTTAGGCTTTGAAGCCTGGCACTTGGAGGCCAGAGAATGTCAGATACGAATTCGAGCAAAGGTACATCTGCAAGGCAAGTCATTAACTTTAACACCTAGGCTGCCAGCAAAAGAGCAAAGGTTTATGGTTCTTCAGAACCAAGAAACAAATGTCAGTTATAGAAAAAACTACATAATATGTATAGAGTAAAGTCCCAGGCTCATTCAAACCCAAATTCTGCCACAGTGCTCCACTGGCCATTTCCCAGAACTCCCGCTGCTTACATAAAAGGGAGATCACCCCCTTCTCCTTGTGACCCTCTGATCCTCAACTTCCAGGCCTCCTGGGATCCCCATTTTTTGCCTGGCCTCATCTGCCAGCCTCCCTCTGACTGCCCCACCGGCCGGTTTCCCAGGACTCCTGCCACTTCTATCAAAAGATCACCCTCCTTTTCCGTCTGACCCTTCGATCCTCGACTTCCAGACTGCCTGGGGTCCCCCTCTGTGGCCTGGTCTCATCTGCCAGCCTCCCTCTGACTGCCCCATGATACAGTTTCCCAAAGTTCCTGCCGCTTCTGTAAAAAGGAGACTGCCTTCCCCTTTCTCCTCCAAGCCTCGGATCTCTGACTCCGCTCTCTCATGTGCCGCCGACAGCATGCACCCCTCCTCCACCTCTCCCTCATCTCCTTCCACCCCTAACCGGGCATCTTTCACACTTTCCTCCACACCCTTGGGTCCCACAAGGGCCATTTTTGTTTGGTGTTTGGAGGTTACTATTGGTGTTTTCAGAGCTGCAGTAATCCATCTCTCCTGTTGCTTTGATGATTAATTGATTGGCACCAACATGTCTGTCACACAAACAGCCAACACAAACCACATGAACCTCCGTAAAAACCATAAGCGTTTGTGGGAGGTTCATTGCAGATGCAATGCATGACCCTTGGCTCATGAACAGGACGATGTTCGTGATGAAATTAGGTTCATGACGACGTTTGTGCCCATCCCTAATCCTAACACGAGAAAAATGGATAGCTCTGTGCACAGTATTTACAGATAGCTATTGCCAAACATATAGAAAAAGGCCAACTACTCAAGTATGATTTAAATTTTCCTGATCCTTGATCCATCAGATAACAATTTGTTATCTAAATCTAAATGTTTACTACTATAAGCTTTTCCCCACACATTCTGAATCACTGAGGCCATATATCTTTTTATTAAGTTTGACCGATTTTGGAAAATGCGAATCTGCAATGGAAAAATGTAATTATTCCACAGGGAAACAAATTCCAGTTAGGATTAGAAATTTGAAACTAAAAAATGAAATGTATCCTTCAGTTATTTCTTGTACTTATGGTGGAAACTTTACAGACTGAATCTTTATATTAGCATATATTTCAATTGGAGGTCCAGGTGCTTACTCATCATTTCAAAGAAATCACTATGCAAAAACTTTGTTCAAAGCCTATCTGTTTAATTAGAGTAAATCTCATTAACCTGATCTTCCTTATAAAGGACCGAAATGGCCAACTACAGTGGATATTGATGGTATAAAACAGTGTAATTCAGTTTAATTAGGAGCAGACTGACTATAATCTACTAATTACTATTCCTAGTTTCTCACAGCATGCTCCAATTTGCTTTTAAGTAGTACCACCCCTTTTTTGGACCAAAGTTCTACAATCCTACCATTATAGTTATAATTATAGTGGGCTCAGAGAATAAAACCGTGGCACAGTTAACTTAAGTAAATAATTAGAATGAATGTAAGGAATGACGGAACAGGATACAGAGGCCAGTATGCCCTCTTCTCTAACTATATAAGAAACCATTTAGGTGCTCCAGAAAGCAGCCACATGTTTACATACAAGATTTCTTTATATTATTTTGCATTTAAAAGTTCCTAAGTACGAGCACCACCTAATTAGTTCAGTTAGACTGGAATATTAGTTCTTAAAGACAAAAAATCAAAAATTATCTTTGAACAGATGTGCTTTCACTATCAAAATTATGTTCTAGCATCAATTTGACCCAAGGGTTTTTTTAGCTGATTACAGGAACACACTATTTTAAATGTAATCTATTATTACTTTTCCAAAGTGCCATTTATTGTGATTTGTCTTTTTGTGCAGTACACTAAAGAAACACTGAGAGAGAAACTGGGCAGGATAATGATAACTTCATCTTTTCCAAACTTTTTAAGCAAAACACATCCACATTTTGATTAAACCTGAATCTGTCAAGCTATACTCAAAAGAAGTCAAACCACACCTTACTATTCAAAGTTGAAAAGCGGTTTTATGGAGAAGAGATTGGCAAGATTCAGATCTACAGTTTAAGGATGTGCCTTAGTTCATCTACCCGTACCAATATTTCTGTCATGAAGATGATTTCCTTAAAGTTGGCATAAGATTAACACTATAGGAATGTACATGAAGATACCTATTCACAAAGTTCCGTAAGGCTCTCATTAACATTTCTAGATTTGCTGATATAAACAACACTTGGGGCCATATAAGTAAATACCAGATACAGAAAAGAACACCAAACAACTTATACTCAGAGTTGGTGTGAATACCTTGCATGAGAGACTGAAATCTGCAAGCCTGTTATGCCACTGTATCTGAAGAAGTGTGCTTGCACATGAATGCTTATACCTTGAATAAAACTTTGTTGGTCTTAAAGGTGCCACTGGACTCAAATTTTGTTCTGCTGCTTCAGACCAACATGGCTACTCCCCTGAATCTAGGCCATTACCTTGTTAGTGTACTTGGTACACTACATCTGAATAGATACATAAACTTTTCAGTAGTTTTGAAGGTACAGAAAATGAATGGTGTTCATTCGTTTCCAGAAAAAATGAATTGAAGGGAAATTGTAATATATGCAATATTTACTTTCCTATCAAACCTAAATGTCTTTTATTGATTTATCATAAAGCACATTATTTATAACTTAACACATACAATTTTACATAATTTTAAATTTAAGTATAAATATCTTTGTTTCCTATATGAAAAACTGCTAGTATACCCATACTCACAAGAGAATTGCCAAGTGTTGCATCCTATGCTGCCATAACATATGTATAATTTTTGCCATCGGATTGTTGTTGTTCAGTCGCACAGTCGAGTCCAACTCTTCGCGACCCCATGGATCAGATCACGCCAGGCCTTCCTGTCTTCCGCTGTCCTCTGAAGTTTGCTCAATTTCATGTTCGTTGCATCTATGACACTGTCTAACCATCTCATCCTTTGTCGTCCCCGTCTTCTTTGACCTTCAATCTTTCCCAGCATCCAGTGAGTGCTCATATTTAAATGTTAAGCCAAACTTTGTAGCACTGAAAACACTGAACTCTTTAATCTATTATTGGGCACTTCAACATATTAATTGTTGCCAAAATTATTCACATTTAAACAAAAAAAAAATTAAAACTTCTGTATATGTCTATAGCACAACAGGGTTTTTTTCCAGTGCCCTCCCAAATTTCCCATTTTTTTTTCTATTGGAAAAAATTGAAGAAGTCCTCAGACTTGTTCATGCTGTACATTTTGAATGAGTGAAATGTTTTGTAAGAAAATATTTTTCTTACTTGAAATGAGACAATATGTCATAGGAGGGACCCCCCCCCCAGTGCTCCCTAAATTCTGTCCAAAAACTGAAAAATTCCTAGAGAAAAAAGGAGGAGGGCTGATCCCCCCCCCCATTTTCCTCCTCCTCTCCTGGCCTTCAGACATTAAGTGGTATACATCTTTTTAAAGAGAATTTGGCAGCCAGTTTTCAGAAACATCTGCAGATTAAGCTTATGACTTCTGCCAAAATCTAACGCATCCAATAATTCCTAAATTTCGAAGCAGGAACTCTTCTGGGTGACTAATAGAGTTATGAATACCTGCAATTAACACTGGCTCTAACAGCTATGGTAATAGCTTTGGATAGGAAGAATGAGTCAATGAGATATTTTCCCTATTTAATTATCATCTGTTTTCTTGTAATAGACACAACTGCTCAGGCAAAAAAAAATACTGCATATTTTCATATCATGTAACAATACCTTAGGTTACTGGACATACCTATACCAACCAAGGGTCAACAGAATAACTTATCTCAATTAATAGACATAACCCAGTGCCACCCATGAAAGCGATCCAAAAGGCCACTCATTAAAGCACGTATATTATCTTCCCCTTCCAGATCACATGTTCACGGCCCTAAAGTTCTTAAGTTACTAACCTGGTTTTCTTCTTGCACTACTCGATACTGTTCCTTCCAAATAGTTATCTTGGATGCTTCATCTTTCCTCAAGGCTCTTTCCTTCTTTAGCTCAGGACTCCAAAATGTCTTGATACTATTCATTGAGGAACTAAGTTTGCTTTCTTTCACCTCTACATCCTTGCGCAGTATATCATTTTCCCGCAACACTTCCTTGAGCTGTGTCTGCAGGTCCATTATAGTATTGTCCCTAGCTTGCCGCAGTGAATGAGGCACTGTGGACGCCATGCTCACAGGAGGAAGGTGATGCTCTCCAAATGCAATAGTATCACTGGCAACCCCACTGCTGGCAATGTTGGGACTGCTACCCATAGCAGTCATCCTTACACCATAAGGCAGACGCCCCCCAGATCGGCCAAGAGTCATGGTGCTTTTAGGCGTGTCTGCACCCACATTCTCATGGTCACTTAGGTACATAGGGCCTGAAGTGGCATAAGCAGCATTTAAGGACTGGATATTTTCCATAGAAAGTGTTTTGCCACTGCCACCCCCAGCACTACTTCCAGAGCTGCCTCCCGTACTGTTGGTTCGACGATGGCCCAGCCGTGGCGATCGTGGCAGTCTTGGTGAACGCCCAGGACTCTGGTTGCTTGGCTCAATTTTACCAACTGACCGAGCGCTTCCATACATGATTGATTTTGTGATATAAGGTAACTAGGGAAGAAAGAACTCCTGTGATGCTTCTTCACTATGGTTGCTAGTCAGCTTAAGGCCAATCAATATTTATAGTATGCCAACTGTCTGTTTCTGAAGTCAAAGCTTCATGCTGTCAGTCATCATAATCTGTAACAGAAACACAGACATTAGATCACCATTGTTCAACAAAATCACATTTCCTGTTATTCCCCCCTTTTTATAATTTTGTGAGAATTTAATGATTCAGACATGCAAATGTAAAATATTTCTCCAGTCCTTGAAGTCTGTGGACTTCTTTTCCACAATCATGTCAGCTCTCGTTAACTTTCTACACTATGCCCTGTCACTCTATGCCACTTTAAACTTCACCTTCTTACTTTTTTAAGCTTTCTGCTTCACTCCTTGTCACTGATATATTACTTATGTTCACAATAAAATCTCCAAACAAGCATAGAAGGTAAAGATCAAATTCAGGTCCAACAATAGCATAAAAGTAGGAGAACACACTTTTCCAACATTCATATACAGAATGCTGCTCTGATGGAATGTCAAGGAGGTTCCTCAGCTTTCACTGCTGCTTTTAAGACTTAGTTGTTTAGCTGACAACTGAGACATGCTTCTTCTTTTTTTGGTTACTGCTTGAGAAAGGTATAAACCATTTCAAACAGTTTCTGAAACAGACTCCAAAGTGAATAAAAGATAAGATAATCCTTTATGTCAGATTGAGAGAACAAAACGTTTTCCTCCTATAAACCCAGAAAAATACACTGGAAGAAAAGAAATCACAGATTCAGACAGTAGAATCTAACCACATACAACCTCTGAACTGGACACCCTAGCCTTTTCCAGCAGTCGGAACAGGTAACTGTCATGACCGCACTGACACTATATTGCCCCACTTTATGAAAGCCTGTACCCATATGTCCACTGAAATTCTTTGTTTAACTAGCATTATATATTCAAAGTGTCAACTTTTCCATGGGGGGGGGAGGGGGGTAGTCATTCTGCAATCTGCATATATTGGACAAGAAGCAGAACAGTAAATTACATTAGTATCTGACCCTTCCACCCCACCTTATCTGAGCACATGATGTAGTTCTTCTGCTGAACAGGAGCAGGCAGATTGGCTGGTTGAGAGACTGCCTAGAACTCTTGTGTAAATCACTCCATGCTCTTCCTAGATAGAACAGGGCAAATTGTGACAAATGACTAGCTAGCTGCCACTTTACCCCTTCCCTTCTTCTGATTCACTGCTACTATTTCTAGTTAGAGAGTAGTAGTGCACTGCTAAGGAGCCTGCACACATCATGTGCAATTGTCACTCCTGGCTTTAAGGGAACATTGCCTTTTTAAAGCACTAGAGAGAGAAATAACATGCTAAATAATTAATTTAGTCTGCAATCTTATGATCATTTAACGGGAAGTAAATCCCACTGATCACAGTGTGGCTTATTTCTGAGTCAGAGGAAAACCATATACACGGAAGAACCCACCTCTCTATCCCCCTTCCCAAACAAATATACAACTAAATATGCTAGCCTTGACCATCCAGTGATTTCAGTACAGACCCAGCTGGACAAAAACAGAAAGCTGAAATATGAAACAATTAAAAGTTATATTGAGTAAGCTCATTACTGTGCCTGGACAAAAAAAGAAAAGAAAGAAAGAACAATTTCGCACACTGTAATCTGCATGCTATGCGTGCCAACAAACAAATGCAGAACAGTATTCCCATGAAAGTCTAAAGCTCACCCATCCCCTACCAGCTTCTGCATACTACAGAAATATGCTCTCTACAAGCATGTGAACACTTCAAAAGTTACTAATTTTGACAGCACAGGTTTGTAGTGCGTTAAATGTAGGAAGCCACTCTGTCCTATTGTTAAGAAGTTATCATTGGTGCCACCACAGAATCTGGATGCTTTCGGTAAGTTTGAGTAATAAAAACCTGAAGCACAGAAAAATTGTTCTAAAATTTCAGCCAGTCTTTGAGAGACTCTACAACCTACCTCAAAATGAAATCTACAATACACATGTATATTTAAGTCATGCCCTCACAATTGCTAAAAGCTGACTCGTGATCATTTTAACAAACCAAATTAAAGGTTGCTTTTTATCTAAAAGGATGATTTGTGGGGCAAATATGTGACTTCTAAGATTAAACATTGATGACACAGTACCATGTATTTCTTGTTCCAGACTTCCTCTTGTGAACCCAGGAATCAGCAAGTCATGATCACTAGGATCCAAGGGGATCTACTGGGGATCTCACCAGGATTAGCCATATGGGAGATCTATTTTATCCCTTCCATTTGTCAAAGCTCCACAATAAGTTCAGGTCTCAAAATATGAATGTTTATGACTCTTCCAAGGATGATGGACATTTACTTTCCATATGACACACAGTCACTCACTGTTTTGTCCAGTAACTAGCAGACCTTGCTTCTGGAATGTTCTGAACATTGCTTCAAATTAAACATAGGAAAAAGATTTAAATCCCATTTTGATTAAAGATATCTACACCTAAATAAGCATGTGCAGAATTGTAGTCTTAGCCAACAAGTTATCCTGTTCATTTGTTCAAGGATACAGAACACAAACTGAAGTTTGTCTAATCTCTAAGCAAATACAATTCTGGAATTCAAAAGACATGTAAGCTTCATAACCAAGGATTCCGGATACTCTCCTAAATTAAAGAGGTCTTAAATGAATATTCCTTAATTAATATAGCAGCCAGTTAGCACATATGCTTGTTCAGGAAATGAATGCATTTCAAATTTGGAAACATGTTTTAAATCAGTGCTTCAAACTTGTCTTAAATCAATCTACTTTACTTCATTTATCTCCAAGCGTACAAATGCCCTTAATTGGGAGCACCATGGTCAGAGAAATTTATTTCCAAGTCTGCTTGCTTGAATCATGGCCTAGGAAAGTGACTACCCACATAGGCAGATGAAAGCATACTAAAAAGCTGTAATAGTGAAGAAACTATGATAGGCCACATCAACTAAAAATGCTCCTGAATGATAACCAAGTATATGCTCTAATAGTGACTTATTCATGACATCTGAACTGCGCTGTCCATCTACACATTATGAAGTCCTCGTGTTCACTGAGGAACACAAAGACTTTTTATCAGACATGTGATGGCAATTTTGCACCTCCTAGGATCATACTAGCTCCATTCTGCTTGCAACCACAGCATGCAGGGAGAAGCAGCTGTAGACACCCCCACCCCCATTTTCACATCCCTGAACTCCGTAAAAATCATACTAGTTATATGACTACATGTAAGTTTCACAGTGGAGTGGCTCCATGGGGCAGTTGGAGAATGTAAAAAAACAGTGTGTGTGTGTGGGGGGGGTTTGCTACAGCCACTTCTCCCTGCAGTAGCAAACTGCAAAGAACCAGTGTGTGACTGGAAGGCACAGAACTCCCATCACGCATGTGATACAAAGTTCACATGTTGCTCCCCAAAAAACACAAGGACTTTGTAATTTGTAGCTGAACCCTAAGTGAGGCCATTTGCCAATCTTCCATCCTCCTGCCCTCCTTTTCCCATATGAAGCCAGATACCTTCCAAGCTACAATGTCCAAATGAGAGTGCCTTCACCTGCTGAGATTTATTTCTCTTCCAACAACTGATATTCTTAGCCAGGACAACACTATACCATTAAGAATGCAGTTACTGTGAAAGAAACAATCTTGAGTTCAGATGTCCATTTGGATATCCATGACTTAGTAGCAGGCCTGTAGCCAGGATTTTTTTGGTCAGGGGCATTTAAATTTTTAAGGGGGCAGTTAAATTACAGTTAATTAAATTAATCCAAATGTCTGTCTTTAAAGGGGGAGGCTCTGAGCCTGTTTCTAGCCCTTCCTTTCAAGGGACAGGGCAGTGAGTGCAATAGTTCCTACACAAAAAACCAGCTCAGAGGGCATTTAATTGTCTTCATAAGGCATTCAAATGCTTTTTGAGTCCCTTTCCACAGGGCAAGAAACCTTAGAAGGGCTTTCATGTTTTCAAACGGCTCATGAGAAGTCTTCTGAAAGACTCACCATGACCTAGGTGGTATACAGCAGGACTGGGGTAGCAGAAAAGGGGATTGTTGGAAATGTATTGAAGGTGCTACTCTTGAGTGCCATTCTAAGCTTTCTTGCCCTGTGGAAGAGAACTCAAAAGGTATTTAAATGCTTTCTGAAGTTGATTAAATGCCCTCTGAGCTGTCTTTTCCTTGATCCCATGATGCCCCCCCCCCCAATTCCAAAGTGGGAGGGAAGCCCGAAGGCAAAACGCAGCACTTTCATCCTGGCCACTGCCAGTAGCAGGCAGCGGGGGGGGGGGTCTCTCCTCAAAATTAAGGTTTCCGGCATGGCTATTTGTGGGGCAGGGCTTTTAATTAAGGGGGCAGGGCCCCCAAATGCCCCACTGTGGCTATGGGCCTGCTTAGTAGTGTTAGATTGAAGAAATGGAGAGATCGTGGCAATTAACTACATACAGGTCTGACCAGGTCCACTGGGGTTCCCAATGAGGGCCATAGTACCTGTCCCATCATATTCAGGGAAAGGAAGCAATGCATTTACTAAGACAAAAATGGCAAACCTACTACTGAGTCTTAGGTTCTCTACATCTTATTTAAATTATCAGTAGAGTTGAAAGTGACTATGGACAGGACAGCATTTTTGGTTTGACAGCATTTTAGGGAAGGGTGATGTGGTTGCCTGTGGGCAGGAGAAGCAGCCTGGGTGACAGATATTGAGGCTGGCAGGATGCGTGGGCATCCATTCTGGCACATCACAGGATTGTAGATAGTGCAGAGTATGGGGGCTTTGGTGCTACCAGGGGATGCTGTGCCAGTTAAGGACAGTGATGGAGCTCATGAAAAGATTTTAGCAAGAAATATGTTGAATGGTGGCACATGGAGACTGGATAGTGAAGGGATTTTAAAAGTGGTCAAAATCAGTGATTTTTCACTGAAGATACAGGAGTACGGCATCTGGAAACTGATGCATGAAGGGTTTGGCCCTTCAGCCATTTGAGTTTGATGCCATCATGCTTGAGAAATTAGACAAAAAGTTGTTTATGGGGGCTGAACATCACTTTCATAGAATCAATATGTCAGCAATATTAGGGATGTGGATGAAGCTCA